GTTGGTAAGTACTGTAAACTAATTTACTTTCTTACTNTTCTACAAATAAACTACTCTCTCTCTCTCTCTCTCTCTCTCTCTCTCTCACACACACACACAGACTCACACACACAGACACACAGGCACATGCACACAAAATTTGATTATCTGGTGACTAATGTTTTTCACAGTTCGCAAAAATCTCTCTCTATTTACACAAACTCAAGAGAAACACAAAAAGCCTCTGCAATTAATGACCTCCCATACTTCCATTTCTCAGGGCACTCCATGAGAAGGACTCAAGGTCTAAGGGCCTCTCTAGGATGCAATTCTTCATGGTTTTCATGATAGCAAGTTTTGCATACTACACATTACCAGGTTACCTCTTCTCGATATTAACCTTCTTCTCTTGGGTATGTTGGGTCTGGCCTCATAACATCACAGCTCAGCAAGTGGGCTCAGGCTACCATGGACTTGGTGTGGGGGCATTGACTCTCGATTGGGCTGGTATCTCAGCTTATCATGGAAGCCCACTAGTGACCCCTTGGTCTTCCATTGTCAACGTAGCAATTGGTTTTATCATGTTTATATACATCATTGTTCCCATTTGTTATTGGAAATATAACACATTTGATGCTCGAAAGTTCCCCATTTTCTCAAGCCAGCTCTTCACTTCGACTGGGCATAAGTATGATACAACCAAGATTCTCACTCCTCAATTTGACCTGAATGAAGCCGCATATAACAGTTATGGAAAGCTTTATCTCAGCCCTTTGTTTGCTCTCTCCATTGGATCAGGCTTTGCTAGGATCACGGCGACTATGACCCATGTCTTGCTCTTTCATGGCGGGTATACTACTAGACTTGTTTTCTTCACTTGGTTTCTTTTTCTTGACGATTGTTCTCTCTCTTAATTTCTGTAAATATGCAATGTTGCTGGGCTTTTACTCTTTAGTATCTGTCATTATTTTGAAAAGTTCTCACTTTTGTTTATGAAATGTCAAGCTGGGTTTTCTCGAATTGCTCATTATTGACATGTACATGTTTTCTTCTCTTCCTGATTTCTTATTTTTCTGTATGGTGCTCCTCTCTTAGCTTGTTGAAGAATCCTAGCCGGGTTCTTGTCTTGCTCTTTACTAACATATATCATTGAGTTCTTTTACTCCTCTTTCTCTTAATTTCATTAAGGAAATCGAGAATTTTTTAGGTCTTGTCCCATGGTAAGGTAACTGGCTTTCCTTTCAATGTGATTCTTGGGCAGTGATATTTGGAAGCAAAGTAGATCAGCCATGAATTCAGTTAAACCGGATATCCATGCAAAACTGATGAGAAATTATAAGGAAGTCCCTCAGTGGTGGTTCCTTATTCTATTAGCAGGAAGCATAGGGCTCTCATTGCTGATGTCTTTTGTGTGGAAAGAAGATGTGCAGCTTCCATGGTGGGGTATGCTTTTCGCCTTTGGTTTGGCATGGGTTGTCACTCTTCCCATTGGTGTCATCCAAGCAACTACAAATCAGGTGATCAGAGTTCTATCATTTACACCATTTCTAGTTAGACCATCTTTACTGCTGGTCTTATTTCACTAAATGAATCACTCCCACCCCCCTTCCCCCCAACCCCCAAATTCGCTTTTGTTTTGTGTATGTGGCTGTGTATATCTCTAAATTTATGTTTGGTAAACTTCAAGCCCCAGTTCTTTTAAGCTCATCTCTGCTGCATGCTTTAAATGCCAATACATCGCAATTTGTTATTACTGCATGACTATGGGAATAACTTTTCATCTTAAGCACTAGGTTTTTGTGTTATCTAAAACATGCTGATGATTACATACATAGTTTTCTCCACTAATCATGGATGCCGAATTTATATGTTTGCATGCAGAAGAATAGTCTGATATCAGGAATCAATTCGAAGTTAAAGACCCATTTCTCTCTCTTAAAGTAATTTTGATCCTAATATTATTGATTGAGTGTATTAAGACTATTTCCTCCACTTCTTTTGAAATGGACTCAAAATTAAAACTAAATCCATTTCCGCCACTTTTGATATCACAATATGTATTGATGGTTAAACCCATTTCCCTCTCTACAAGTACTCGTTAGAAATTACATTTACTATTATTATTTGTATTCTAAAATGCATTCATAGTGATTCGTTTCCGTCTCTATGAGTATTCTTTTTACTCATACCATTTATAATTAGTTAATAGGGTGTATTTCCTCCAGTTCTAAAACTTTTATGGATGTGAAACAGCAACCCGGCTATGACATCATTGCACAGTTTATCATTGGATACATGCTACCTGGAAAACCCATCGCCAACCTGTTGTTCAAGATCTATGGAAGAATCAGCACCATCCATGCCCTCCAATTCCTTGCTGATCTGAAGCTTGGCCACTACATGAAAATCCCACCGAGGTGCATGTACACAGCTCAGGTATGAGGCTCTTCAACTTTCACATACAGCCATATTAGAAGCTAGTTTTAACGTGAACTTAATCTTCTAACTGAATTTACAAGGATTTTTTTGTCTAAACAGCTTAGTTTGAGCCTGCAACTCATATACCAATGAGAAGCTATTTTATATCATCCATTCATCCTTTCTCATTTCTTGGAACTTGCATCTCTCTCTGTCTCTCTCACCCACACACAAACACAGAGAGAGAGAGAGAGAGCACGTTATTTGCACTACTAGTTGCTAAATTTGATTCCTGGACAACAAACAGCACAATATTTATGGCTACGCTACTCTTTTTTGAGCTGCTTCCAAGCAAACAAATCTCTGCTCCCACCTATTAGGGGCATATAAATTGGCTTATGCCCTGTTTGGCTTGCAAATTCACTTACACCCCTGTTTCGTTGACTCATGAGAGAGTTTTCCTTTCATGTGTGCATGTGTGTGGATGGGATCGGAGAGAGTTAAAGAGTTCCACCAACGGACTGCACACACACACAAAACATATATATAGAGAGAAAGAGAGGCAACAAAAATCTCAAACACCATTAAATTTTGCAGCTAGCTGGTACACTCATAGCCGGCACAGTGAACCTCGCAATAGCATGGTGGATGCTAGGGAGCATCAAGGACCTATGCGATGTAGAATCTCTCCACCCTAACAGCCCGTGGACATGCCCTAAATACCGAGTAACATTTGATTCATCAGTTATATGGGGTCTCATAGGCCCAAGGCGACTCTTCGGACCAGGAGGAATGTATAGGAACTTGGTCTGGTTATTCTTAGTTGGTGCACTTTTACCAATTCCAGTTTGGGTTCTAAGCAAGATTTTCCCTAACAAAAAATGGATCCCCCTTATAAATATCCCAGTTATTTCCTATGGTTTTGCTGGCATGCCTCCTGCTACTCCAACTAACATAGCTAGTTGGCTTGTAACTGGAATGATCTTTAACTACTTTGTATTTAGGTATAACAAAGGATGGTGGCAAAAGTATAATTATGTATTATCAGCTGCTTTAGATGCTGGGACTGCTTTCATGGGGGTCTTGCTTTACTTTGCTCTTGGGATGGAGAATAGGAATTTGAATTGGTGGGGAACACAGTTGGATCATTGTCCTTTGGCTTCATGCCCAACTGAGCCTGGAGTCTCTGTTGCTGGGTGCCCTGTTTTCTAGTCTCTAGAGAAAGGGAGGTTGGGACTACAGTTTGGGATGTAAAGATTTTTGCATGCTCTTTGGTTACTTGATAATGAATAGAATGTGCTGGAAGTTCTTTATTGGGGTACACATATTTTGTGAGCTGAAGTCTGTGTGTGTGTGTGTGTTAATGGAGTGGACATGATCAATAAACTATGCCCTGTTATGAGAGCCAATATGATGTCAATTCCATTGATCCATGTATCACTCCATCTCCCTCAACCTCTCTGTTAATGGAGTGGACATGATCAATAAACTATGCCCCGTTATGAGAGCCAATATGATTACAATTCAATTGATCCATGTATCGCTCCATCTCCCTCAACCTCCATGGTTGTACTTTGGACCCAATAATACAACAGAGGTCTCAAATTCTCTATAACTCTATGAGGTTATTAATTTCCAAGAAGTCCACCCAAGTTAACTTGGTCCAATATCTAGAATCCTTTCTATTTAGGGGCCATTTAGGTACATGGAAATATATTATCTAGTGAAATATATTACTGATGAAAAATATCTCGTGGAAAATGGGTTTTTGATGTTAGGATGACATCTAGATTCAACTAGGAGATACATTTCTACTATTTGGTACATTTAGATCTTATAAAGTCATAATATACTAAGTAATAACCAATCTAAAACAAATTAAAGTGAGTCTCCAAACACTATCAATTGAAACCTCGGGAACTATAATATCATCTTTCACTTGAAACCTGAAACCATCGTCAGGTTTTGATTCTCAATTTTGATAAACATTTCGAACATTTGGTTTAAACAGAATTGTCAATGCTTTTGAACAAAATGAGTATAAAAATGAAGGAGTAGTATTTAGTTGTACATACGGAAATTTTTTTTATAGCAGCTGCCCCAAGTCACCAAGGTTCTAGCGTTGAAAAAGCAATGGTTCTTGATTTATTTGTACACATTCTTGTGATTCTTATGAGTGATTCAATTGTGGTGCGCGTGACTTAAATTTGCGAATTAGTTCACGTCTCCAATGTACTCATTGCATCCTTGAAAGAACCAATTTTTTATTCAGGACATGTATGATAATTAATGTATTCACACCGATAAAAAGTTTGAAAAAGTTTATAAGGTCGCAACCTTAAAATGTAGAATTAAAGATGTACATCAAAAACCATCGGAAAGTTGATGTTTTAACGTTGAAAAATCATCTAATTGATCATCTTGACATCGAAATCTATGAATAAGAAAAACAACAAAGATTTTGAGTCTCAAAAATAATGCTTCTTGCAACACATTATCTAGACTTCCCATTTTCAAGATTTTTATATGTTTATAGATCTATATGATTTTAAATATTTTTGAAGTTTAAAATATTACAATTAGAGGTGAAAATAGATTTTTAGATAATCCTAAAAATATTTTATACCAAAATTATATATTATAATAGAATTTGGAACTGCCCTAATTGGATTGTTTAAGGTTGCAACTTTGTACGACCACCCCTCTACAAAAATACTATTTGGGTTGACCTCACAATGAGGACATAGATGGGTTAAAAAGCCCCTATTGTTTGTAGAGAAGCCATTGACCTACTATAAGCTTTCCTCTTGCCGTTTCAAAACAAAGCGTAAGGTAACACAATATTGAACTTTTCAGGCCAACTACCATTATTAGGGGCTGTTTGGGAACTTAAATTGATGAGCGGACTCGAATCAATAGGCAAAAGTCAAAAAAATTGGACAAGAGAGTCTCTATGGAGGAAACGTCGAAATAATGGAACATAGGTCAAGAAACCCCCATCCGATTCAAGAAATCCAACAATTGCATCACATAAAAGATCTTCTTAGTCCTTTGCTACAGAAGGGGAGGACTACAAAGAAAATATGCCAAAAAATAAAGCACTAGAGCTCAAAGAATCAAAACATCACCAAAAATAACTCCCATCCCATGTTTTGAACACTCTCAAGAGGCTCCCTGTAAGGTTTGAGCTATGAAAAATCCCAAGTTACCTCAGAGAATTGTACGACTTCAAAAGTTATGCATCTAGTGGAAATTGTTTTATAAATTCATAAAGTTATATATCAGGAAAATAGCACAACAACCATAACTAATTTGATTTTTGATTGGCCAAAAATGTGTCATTTGTAAAAAGATAAAAGAAAAGACATGCATTCCAATAAGCAACCAGAGGAGACTTAAAATGGAGAAACATATTTGTTTTCTTATACAGAATATGGGAAGGAGTACGAAGTGCTTAAAACGAACACTTGTTTCATTTACATCCAAACTCTATTAGGTGACTAGGAACACCCTTGATTAGTCAATCCAAAATATAAAAAGTGTGACTAAAACAATACCGCTAAGCCTTGATGGTCTCACCGTATGAATTATGGTGGATGAGATTTTATTGTAATATGTTGTAGGGTATTTTTGACGCAATTCTTTCTCTATGCATATAAAAGAGGAGGCGATTACAACCATATCTCATAGGTATAAAAAATGCCTATGAACTATAAAGGCCCAGGTGGAATAAGCCTAATTTTGAAAGAGCCATCATAATGGTGTCATCTCGGCCACAAAAGTGTATGCAAACAACATTTGACGTCCCAATGTCTATCCCCAAGTTTCGCCCCAACCATACAAAGGCATAGGGGAACAAGATGATGATTTAGTTTGGAGTGTTATGCTCTATGTGTACAAGCTACACCACAGCTAAAAGTCCATAAGGGTGATCTCGGATGGTCACCATACCACCGTAGACAACTTATAAAGGTCCTAAAACCATTAACTATCAAGTTTTAGCTCAAACGGATTTTTTAGATCCTACTTTCCTAAAAAGGGTAGATCTTTCACTATTCATGTTCAACCAACAAAACTAGTTACTAAAATTATTAAAAAACTGATGCACTAGCCCAAAAATGGGACATTTTTATGAAGCTTGTATCTCATTGACCACGAAGCGGATCAACTTCAAATTTTAGTACGTTGTTCTCCTTGACTGCAGGAAGATTTTGACAAATGGCACGCATGAAGCCAATCACATCGCTGAGCTGAGAGAAATCTTAAAGTGAAGGTTGCTTAAAAGTGCTTTAAGCAGATTTTTGTGTGCAAGACGTTCTCTTACTCCAACGGACATAACTCGAAGCCTCCAAGTCGGATGAGCTAAAAACAGAGGCATTTCGACCGTGAATCGAAGGGCTTCGATTTGAGGTAAAATGCACCACCCAAGATGAGGACTAGGAAAGTACTTAATCGAGGTTTGCAAGAAGGTACAATATTTAGGTTGCCGGAAAACCACTTTCCCAGTGACTCCCAAAAATCACAAAGTGGTCAATCAGAGACCAAATCTTATGGTTTTTTGTACAAAACAATCATGGCGACTTCCTTTTCGATATACCATAAAAAAGAACAAAGAAGCGACGTTTTGAGGTAGATCGAGCAAGGAAAAAGTTCAAGTTTGCATGTTTGGCCGAAAAAGTTAAAGTTCTCAAGAACATGAGCAATACTCCAAGATATCATGCAAATAATATATCAAAACGATCATCTCGGGACAATCTACGTTTTCATGACGCTTGTACGAAATGTCGTTGGAAATAATCGGAAGAAGACCCCGAACCATGTGGATGGGAAGAAGCCCATTTTTTGGGACCTATTTGTCGTTTGCATATTTTATACGGGCTATAAGTGGTCATTTTTACCGAATTTTGAGATTTCACTTTTATTCATTTTAATTCTATTTTTAGGCAATTCCCTTGGGTTTTGAGTGCACACTCATGTTCATTGGGTGACTCTATATAAACCCATGCGTTGAAAATTGTAAAAGGTTGGAAAATGTTTGCTTGAATACATTGAAAATTGAGTGAAATTAAGGCTTAACGTTGGAGAGAGTGTGTTCTTTAAGCTTCTTTGAAATCCTTTTTCCCTTGAGTGAGGAAAGAGAAAATTTTACACTTAAGAGAACTACCCCTCTCCCATACTCTCTACTCCATACTCCATACTCTCTACCCCATGCTCCCTACTCCCTATTCCCTACACCACTTCCAAAGTCCCTACTCCCTACTCTCTATCCCATACTACCTATTCCATATACCCTAGCCGCCCCTCTCTCCTGTCACCCTAGCCGCCCCTCTCTCATCTACCCTAGCCGCCCGTCTCATCCGCACACCCTAGCCTTGCATATCCACTCTACCTTAGCCGCCCCTCTCTCATGCCCTAGTCTCGGTCTCTCTCATCACACTCTAGTCACCCCTATCTCTTACATCCTAGCCCCCACTCTCCAAGGAGACTTTCTCTTGGGTTAAATGTCAGGGTAAGACCCAATGATCACCCCTCACTTGTCTCTGGGGTCCTAGGCCTAGCGCCTAGTACCTTTTCTTCAGTTACTGGTATTGCCTCCTAGGGGAGGTGATGCCGGAAGGCTCATGGATTTATTGAGTGGTTCCCAAACCCAAACCCATCCAACCTAGGTCATCCCTAGTCTTCAACCAAACCCAAACCCATGCAACCTAGGCTCATCTCTAGTCCTCCATCCAACCTAGACTCATTCTTAGCCCTCAACTTAACATAGGCTTATTCCTAGCCTTTGACAAAATCTAGCCCACCAAACCTTGACCAACTAAACCTACCTCACCAAACCTTGACCCACTAAAACTAGCTTACCAACCCTTGAATCATTAGGCTGAACCTAAACCCATCCTTAAACCAACCAAGCCTCTCATCAAGCACATACCTCTCCAAGCCTAAGATACGAACCTAAAGGGCTACATGACACAAACCATCCGAGTGCGCACATCAAGCACGGGATGCCAAGGCGTTAACTCCAAATCGAGCTGAGAGACCAAGGACTTTCTATGGGTGCTCCAAGATGCTGGGATCTAAGAGGGAAAGCTTGCCCGAGTGCATCCAACCCCAACACCACGAGGTATGCCTTACCTCGAATATTTCTTTTGTTGGTTCGAACCGCACACACTGCACCGCCCAACCCTTATCCTGATGGGTATCAAGGTCACCCTCATACGCACATACTTTAGAGAGGGCACAACACATTTTATTTTTCGAAAATACGAAAAAGGGAGAACTCGAGGTTTTAAGAAAATGGTTTTTGTTATCTTTTCTGCAAAAACCTAGGGCAGACCAACTGGCGACTCCATTGGGGATGCACCACCCCAAGGTTGGGTCCTCTAGCTCACAAATGCACCTCGCTTCCAAA